GGGGATTTTTTTGGGGGGGGGGGTTCTGCTTGCACGGGCACCCCCCTGCAATGCGTGCCCCCCCTCCCCACACGCACTGCCCGGCTAAGGGGGCTGGGCACGGGGCAGCTTGGTGCAGCGGGCGGGGGAGAGCAGCTGGGCCGGCTCGCAATGCAACTTAACAAAGAGGCAGAGGCGCACAAAGGACCTGCCGGGGTCCCCAGGGCTCGGCTTTGGAAAGCGGCTGCCCCAGGGGTTCACTGCCTGCCGGGTGCCCCCCCTGCTTTGCAACTGTTCCAGGCCTGGCAAGGCTCCCGCCGTGCCCAGGGGAGCACCGGGGATTCGGCGGGGACAGCCGCGGGCTGGGGACATCTGGGTTTCGGGGCTAGCGGGCTCCATCTCCACCCTGCCCGTGCTGGGATGGCAGCCTGGAGACTCGTCGGCTGTAGCCGTGGTGTCGGCAGGACGCGGCATGTGACCGGGGCCGGGCTTCCCCGCACTGGTGGGTGCCCCCAGGGGAGCCCACCCCTTCTCCTGGCGCGGCTGCGGGCGCTTTATGTTCCAGCTACAGCGCGACACCCAGGCACCCTGCGTTAGGCAGCTGGCCCTGCTGGGAAGCCCGATGGCTTGCAGGAGGGATACCAATGGGACCCGTCTTCCACGGGGCCGGAGGCTGCTCTTCCAGGGGCCCCAGAATAGCCCCTAGCTAGGAGGCTGCTGCATCTGCGGGCGGGAGGTGGGGACCCGCGCCCTCTGTAGCCCAGGCGCGCCGTCAGGCAGCGCCTCTGAAGCATCTGTGGTGGAGCAGGGCCGAGGTGTGTGTGGCTGCAGTGCTCCGACCCCTTCTCTTCTGCGTGCCTTGTACCCCCTGCTTCTGGGGATGTTTGACACAGCTGCCGGGGATGAATCTGGCAGCATCCCTGCTTTGTGCTGGCATCTTCATGATGCATTACTGGGTAGAGTGGTGCTGAGTCAGGGGCCTGTGTCCGGAGCTGTGCCGGGGGCCTGGTCCGGTTGACTCTGGAGTCGGGGTGTTCCCACCCTACCTAATGGATCAGCGTCTTTCCAAGAGGATGGAGCGAGTGCACTGACCTTCACGGGGGAAGATGCACGAGCTGGGGCTCTGCCAGGCTCCAGAGAGCTGGGACAAGGCATTCAGCCCAGCCTGGTGTGGGGCCATGTCTGCCCGCGCCGTGTGAGTGGGGCAGCAGGAGCCCGGGTTGCCAGCGCTTCCTGCCTGTCCTGTGCCACGCGGCAGATGGCTTTGCAAAGGAGCCCGGTACCCTTGCCCCTGCTCTAGCAGTGGGGGAAGCCGGGTGCAGGAGAGCAAGGGACTTGCCTGGGGTCGCCAGGATGGGAGCCGTTCGGTCACAGACCCCGCTTGGATGCTGCATCCTGGTGTCTGGGGCTGCAGCTGAGGGCCAGGAAGGAGTTGGTCTTGTAGCTTCCCTTAGGACCCCTCTCCGGAGCGGCTAGCGGGACCTGAGGCTTGTGCCCCTGGCGCGCAGAGGGTGTATTGCCCCGGGTCCTGGCTCCTCGCAGCCATGCTGCCACAGGGGAGGGTGCGCTCTGCGAACGTGGGGGCAGCAGGAGCCCAGGCCTGGAACGGGCCGAGGCCTGTAGCACCCTCCTGATAGCAGGTTATTGTGTCTGGGCCGCGCTGCCAGGAGCCTCTGCACTTTGTGCTGACCAGTGCATTCCAGCCCCTTTGTTCCCGGCGTTGCCTGGGCACACGCAGGGACTGAGGTCACCCGCCGTGAATCGCCCACGAGCGGCCCAGAACCTCCCGGCAGGTGCATGCCTGGGCGGGCAGCGAGCTGGCAGGAGTCCGGCTGTCGACGTCTCGCTTGCCCGTGGCTAAAAGATTCCCCGACCAGGCTGGTTCAGGGGTCCGGGCAGCCCCAGCTCCTGGCAGCACGGGTTATTTGGCAGGGAAGCGCAAGAGCCCAGTATGGGATAACCTTTCCCCAGGAAATCTCTCCTTTGAACCCCTGCTCAGAGCCTGAGGCAGGAAGATTTACAGCTCTGATCTCAGCCCTGGGCTATGTTGTCCGTGTTCGTGGCCGTGGCTGCATGCCCCGGTCTCGGCAGAGCTCTCTGCTCGGGCAGGAGTTGTGCTGAGCACTTGGCCTTGGAGGTCTCCTGTGGCGGGGAGTGCCACCGGCCGCGCGTGGGGAAGATGAGCCTGGCACCCTCCATGCTCCGGGGAAGGGACCTGGCTTTCCCTGACTGCTGCCGCGGCGGCTGTGGAAAGCCTTGTCGGTGCATTTGGAGCTGCTGCTTGGCTTCCTGCAATGGCTGCGCCCCCGGGGAAGGGGGAAATGTGGTCTCCTTTGCTTGAGGAGGTTTCTCTTGCTCCTGCCCTGATGGTGGAGAGCCAGGCCTCTGCCCCCCAGCCGGTGAGGCTTGTGCTGTCCTGCTGTTATCTGTGGGTTTGCAGTGATGCTGGGACTCTGCCGGATGGGGAGGGCGGATGCCCCCCTGCCATCTGAACCTGAATGCACAAGAAAGCTGGGGAGAGGGAGGCCAGGCCGGTATTGCAGCCTCCTGCATTACAGCCCCAGGTAAAGGCACCTTGTGCCAAGGTAAGAAGGGAGGTTGCTAGTGCATCACGTTAGCCCCCCAGTGAGGTCAGTAGGCTGCTCTTCCCTTGTCCCCATGGGCTGTCAGATCCGGGGTCTCTGATCTGCCATGAGTTTGCTCGGCTCTCATATGTCCAGGCCTCAGTTCCCCCTCCTGTAAAGCATTTTGGGGGAGGGTGTGGGGGGGTGCAGATGGCTGGCTCTGCAGCACCCTGAGCACGCAGCGGTTCCTGTGCCCAAGCAGGGATTGAATCACTGCGCAGACGTGTGGAGTCGTTGCTCCGCTCCTTGGGCAGCTTGTCGTGCCCGGTGCCCTCGCGGCTTGCAGGCAGGCCAGCATGCAGGAGAGGGTCCCTGGCTCAGGGACCAGCAACCCAGGGGCAAAGTGTGCAGGGGGAAGGGAGGGAGTGGAACAAATGGATCGGCTGATTGCATCTCGGGAGCCGGCCCAGCCTCGGTCCGGAGTTCAGCGCCCGCTCCAGGGGCTGGGGCTGGGCCGTGTGCTCGGCTCTCCTGGCTGCCAGCTGCCTGATGAATTTTTTAAAATCTCCGGTTACGAGAGGCAGCTCTTAAGCCTCCCTGGCCTGCCTCTCTGCCCTGCTAAAAGCAGCGGCGTGCATGTCACAGGATCAGTCTCTTGTCTCTCCGAGTGAGAGCAGAGACAGGGGCTATTTTGTTCCCCCGGCCCCTCCGGGCAGAGGCCGGCTTGGCTTTCTGCTCCAGCAAACTATCATGGGACAGGAGAGTTTAGAAAAAAACAAAACAACCCCCCCCAACAAACCCGAGTTGAAGCTGCTGCTTCTCACCCCAAAAATCCCTTTAGGGTTTCCCCCCTCCCAGGCTGCCGTCCACAGCAAGTAGCAGCTCGCCTGGGCTGAGCAGTCGCAGGAGGGGAAAGAAATGTAGGAGCTGGAGGTGGTGTGGGGAGCAGGCACAGAGACCTCGCCCCTCTCCTGGCATCGGAGAGGAGCTTTCCTGGAGACGTTTTTGGCTGGCGAAGCCCTTCCATGCCAGCCATAGCACTTGGTCCCCTGTGGCTTCTCGGCCAGGGATTTCCAAGGATCTGGGATGCTGGAAGCCAACTTGCCTTCCTCTTTGGGCGCTGGGGCCAGGTCCCCAGCTGGGCTCAATCACCGGCGTGCCACTGACTTCCTCCTCGGCTTTTGTAGGAAACAGAAGGCTGAGAGAGAGGCCTGGACAGCTTTTTGCTTCTCTGGGCAGTGGGAAAGTGCCACGTGGGCCATCTCCCTGCCTGAGAACCTGGCACTGGAAGCGACGAGACGCTGGCGAGCCCGTTGTCCGTGTCGGGGAGATGCAGGGAGCGGGGAAAGAATGGAAGGAGCCTTGGCTTTGCGTCCGTGTCCTTATCACTGTCACCTGTGCGGGGTGGGACTGGCTAGCCCTGGGGCTGCAGGGGGGCATTCACCCCTGCTCGGGGCTAGGGCAGGTGAAACGTGCCCTGCTCCTGCCCACGCATCTAACCTCGCTGTCTGGAAACAAGGAGTCTGGGGTACCAACCTTGCCCTCGAGCACTCGGGGGGGGCAGGTGCTGCAGGCCCCCGTCCATGGCTTTTAAAGTCTAGACCCAATGCCTTCAGTTTGGAGGGCTGGGGAGCAACGTGTTCAAGTCTCCTCTGCCACCGACTTCCCAGAGGCCCTTGGGTGCGTCACATAGCCCTTCTATGCCTGTTTCCTGACATGTAGGAGGGGGCTAATAGCACTGGATCGAGACTGAGAGGTGATGGCTGTGGCGGGGCAGGGCAGTGCCTGGGGTGGGTGGATGGATCGCTTGGAGCTGGTGGGAAGTTCCTTGGAGCTGGTTGGTTTTTGGTTTGGTTTTTCTTTTGTTGTTTTTCCCCCACCCCGTGTCCTTCTGAAGGACACCAAGGGCAGGTGGGAAGCCCCAGCCCTGCTGACGCACCTGGCTGGGATCGTGTCTGGGAGGCGGCAGCTGGAACAGCCCTGCCTTGTGGGCTGCCGGCTTTGTTGAGGTGGGATCGATTGCAAAGCAGGAAGTCTGGGCCGCTCCCACCGCCCTGCTCCCCGGAGGCAGGTCCGGGGCCAAGCGCTCGGGGAGTGGAAACAAGGCGCTGCCCTGTCGAGCTGCAGGGTAGAGCACGGCAGGGCCGCGGAGGAAAAACAGCAAGCAACCAGGACTTTGCACCCTCCAGGAAAGGGTGCTGGAGGCTAGTCCGTGTGATCGGCTGGACGTGCCGGGGGGAGGCTTGGATCCATCCGTGTGTCAGCAGCACCCCCAATCGGGGTGCCCTCCTAGACGCGAGTGCTGCGGAGGTGAGGTCTTGATGCTGGGTCCCTGGGCCTGGAGAAGAGGCTGGCAAAACCTCCGTCTCCAAAGACGTCAGGGGTCTGTTGTGCCTGGAGGGGCTCCTCTTGGCCCTGCAGCCTTCCCTGGGGAGGAGTGGGGACTGGGAGTTTGGCCCCGTCGGTGCTTGGTGCCTGCTGGGGAGGCTGTCCTGGACTTTCGGGGCAGGGCCAGAGCACAGGGCATGGCTGTACTGGACAGCTAGCAGGGAGCCAGGGGTCCGTGGCTGATGCGCTGGAGGCCGAGCGGTGCAGGGAGCTGCAAAACCACACAGCAAGACAGGCCTGCTCTGGCCAGCTGAAGCCCATCAGCCCCCGCCGAGCCGCTGTGTTCCCGCAAGCTGGGCTGGGCTGGACTGAACCCAGCAGCCTGAAGGCAGGAGACTGTGTCTGCAATCCAGGAAGGACCAGCCTACTGCTGAGTTCGGGATGTCCCGTTCCCCCAGGGCCCGGTGGGTGGGCACCACAGGCACAGAAGGATGGAGGAGACTAGTCCCCGGAGGTGTCTGGGGAAGCTGGAGACCAGCAGCTGCTAGGGATGGAGCATGTACACGATCTCCAAGGGCCTGGGTGGAACCCGGCTCGGGGTCCAGGAGCCGGGGCTCTCTCCTTGGGAAGGGGCTGTCGTCCTCTTGCACCACAAACAACCCCCACCCTTTGCCCCAGCATCTTCCCCAGCTCCTTGCAGCTCAGGGCTGACCTGCTCAGGAAAGATTGCGGGGCAGGGGCTGCACCCTGGGCACAGCATGGCATGGGCAGTGCAGGGAGCCCAGCTTCCCCCGGTGCCTAAGGACAGGGATGAAAACCACCCCGTTCAAAAGCAGGGGTGCCTGAGCAATGCTGCCTCGTGGGACCGGCTCAGGCTTGTCCCTGTCTCTGCACCTGTGCCCCTTCCAGCTCCTGCCGAGGCAGCAGCTCTGGCCACAGCTGTACGCCGAGGTGCCCCTGCCCTGCCAGCTGCCAGAGCTCTCGCTGGGGAGACGGCCGGCTCCTGCAGATGCAGCTGTTCTGCCTGCCTGTGTCTCCTCATGCAGGGGCTGCAATGCCATCGCTTCCAGGGTTGCAAACAGCAGTGGGGGGGCACGTCCCTGCCAGCTGGAGGGGCAGAGCGGGGCCTGAGGTTGCAGGTCAGTCCTGCCCGAGGTGGCGGCTCAGCCCCTTTGCACGTGGCCTGGCCTCCGCCCCGAGCGTCCAGGGATCGATGGCTTCCAAGTCTCCTGAATAAAGAGCGGGCGCCTGCCTTGCTGACCCCTGCCTGGAAATGCTATAGGGCCAGCGTGGCCTGTGGACGTGGCTTGGGTTGTAGCTCGTCCGTGTCTGAGGTGGTGGCAGGGCCCTGCTTGCCAGCCGGATCTCTGCCTGCCCTGCTGCCCCCGGGCTCGTTCCCTCCTGTCGGAGGCAACCGGGACGTTCTCCGTGGCTCGTGGTGCCTCGGTGCCGTGCCCCGCTCCCCAAATGCGCGCTTCCTGCCATCTGTTTCCAATTTCTCCTGGCATCTGCTCCTCACTGCTTTCTGCAATGGATAAAAATCCCAAGCATTTTCCCCAGGGGGCTTCATGGGGTTTGGATGCGGCCCCTGCGCCTTGCCTCGCTGGTGGGGGAGAGCGGTCCCATTCTTGCACAGACCTGCGCAGCAGACTCCTGCCGGCATCCTCCTCTCCGGCCGGCCTGTCCTTCGCCAGGACAGGCCTGGGATGGTCCCAGATCTGCCTCTGAACCAGCAGCCTTGAGTTGCTGAGAGCTGGGACCCCCATTGCTGGGGAGCACAGTGCAACCCCCGGCCTCCCATTGGGATCCCCAGTGCCCGCCAGCACCTGACAGCCTGGTTGTCTGCAGGGAGCGCGGTGTCTCCTCCACGTCCCGCTGACAATGCGCTATTGTTCAGGGCAGGAAGGGAAGGAGAAACCTGCCTCCCAGGGAAGCCAGGCAAGGGCACCTGAAGGATCTTGGTAGGCAGGATCCAGCCCCATAGCTGGGCTCAGCCGCACTGCACAACCCCTGGGGACGGGGGCTGTATCTCCCTGCACAGCTGTGCACGGATAGCAATAGACTTCCCCACTCCCGATGCAAAGCGGAGAGGTCCCCATGGGGCCGACACGTCCCTTCCGCTGCTGCGTCGGCGTGTCCCCCTGCTCCATGGAGCTGAGCCCCCAATTCTGCAGGGCAGGGGGTGTAGTGGCAGCCGGGGCTGAACCTGGCTCCCAGAGCTCTGGGTCAGGATCGTGTCCCAGCTCGGGGCCTCTCGATGCTGGGTGGATGGGGCAGGAGCGCGTGTCTGGGAGTGAGTGCATTTGAGGTTTCCCAGCCGTCCCCCTGGGACGCGGCAGGAAGCCGGCGGCTGGACGCCCCTGGGCAGCCTCCGTCTGCAAAGTGGAGGCTGTTGTGTGTGGGGGTCTTCCAGGAGGGAGGGCAGAGCAGGGCCGGAGCCACCCCCTCCGGGGTCCCAGCCCTGCCTCCGTGCTGGTTTTGATGCCCTGGGTGGAGTGGGGCGTCCTAACCACATTCCTCTGCTCCCTCCACGCTCCAGGTGCAGCCCAAATCCCGGTGCCCGGTTGCAAGGGGGTCCCAGGCGGAAAGCTCGGCGTGGCGCGGCGCCCGCCACCCCCCACCGGGAAGATGCCCATCCTGAAGCAGCTCGTGTCGAACTCGGCCCACTCCAAGCGCCGCTCGCGCGCGGACCTGACGGCCGAGATGATCAGCGCGCCGCTGGGTGACTTCCGCCACACCATGCACGTCGGCAGGGCCGGGGACGCCTTCGGCGACACCTCCTTCCTCAACAGCAAGGCCGGGGAGCCCGAGCCCCCCGAGGAGCCGGGCGCCTCCAAGCCGGGCCTGCTGTCCCGCCGCTTCCGCAGCAGCAAGCGGTCGCAGTCGGTGACGCGCACGGACCGGCGGGACATGCTGGGCTCGCTGCGGGACTCGGCGCTGTTCGTGAAGAACGCCGTGTCCCTGCCGCAGCTCAACGAGAAGGAGGCCGACAAGAGCGCCGGGAAGCTGCCCAAAAGCCTCTCGTCCAGCCCGGTCAAGAAGCCCCTCGAGGAGAAGCCCCCGGAGGAGAAGCAGCATCCCAACGGGGCAGCCGCCCGGCCCCAGAGCCCTGGCCTGGACGAGCGGGACTTCGGGGACATCACCGAGCTGCCGGTTGTGGTGTCCAAGAACAGCACGGGCATGAAGCACGCTGAGTCCATCCTGTCCTTCCACATCGACCTGGGGCCCTCCATGCTGGGCGACGTCCTGAGCATCATGGACAAGGATCCGTGGGAGCAGGAGGAAGACTCCGGCGCCGAGGAGCCCCCCTGGGGCACGGGCTCCCCCCAGGCCCTCCGGCTCGGCCAGGAAGGGAAAGCCCTGCCGGATTCCCCGCTGACGGCGCCGGCCCGCCAGCACGAGAGCAGGGCCACGGCTTGCAGCCCTGGTTCGTCTCGCAGCCACGTCAGCAGGGACAGCAGCTCGGTTTCCAGCTGTGCTTCGGGGGCACTGGAAGAAGGCAGCCCGGTCCCCGGCGCCCGCAGCCCGCGGGTCCCCGAGGGCACCCGAGCTGGGCCCCCGAAACGGCCCGACAGAGAGCTCTCGTTCATGGATGAGGAGGAGGACGAGATCCGCGTGTGAAGCAGGCGGCTGGCTCTGGGGAGGACGGGGCGGGCTTGGGTGTGCACCCGCTCGAACCCAAGAAGGGATAACCTAAAACGGACTGTGTAGGAACAAGCCGCGGTGGGAAAGACTCGACTCCTCCATCCCTCTTTCCTTCCCCGCCGTCTGCTCTCCCACGTGCCCCTGCTCCCCACGGACATGCTGGACCTGGCGGCCAGGAGGAGGGGACGGAGCTGCTCCTGAGGCTGCCGGGGGCAAGGAAAAGACGGAGGATCATCTCCGAGTGCCTCGTTCTGCTGAGCCGTTCGTCCGCAGGAGCCGTGAGCGTCCTCTCGCCTCTCTGGAGAAGACTGCTATTCTCCCCCAAGAAGCGACCTCTGGCACGTCCATCCAGGGGTGAAGACTTTTTTTTTCTTTTCCTCCTTTTTTCTTTTAAATTAGGACTTTCGTATGAACCGGATCTACTGCCCACGTAAAGCAATAGCGTCGAATGACCAGGACCAAGCTGTAATGTTCCAGGCCCCGTTAGTCCTATGTGGGTATAATTTCCCCCTCTCTGTTTTTATTGATCTCCGGTTTGTATTTGTCATGTTCTTTTTTTTTCCCCCCCCCTTTTATAACCGGGGAGGAGATTGCAGATGGCACAGACTGGGCATGGGAAGCCATGGGGGCACACAGGAGTGTCAAAAACCCCAGGACCTGAGGGCTCATTTGGCCAGCGCCCTGGGACCCCTCACCACTTGCAGCAGGGGATGGGGCTGGGGGCTCCGACTTTTTAGCATTGCTTGTGGCTGTTGGGGTCCTGGCACATCTCGCCCTGTGGCTACATGGGCAGGTCTGAGAAGGGAACCCTGGTAGCTTGGGTGAAGAGGTGCACACAGATGGCTGGTTTCTTGCTGCCCCCAACACCTCTGCAGCAATCAAACCCTCCCATCCCCGGTCCCTTTGTGCCTCGGGCCATGCCTGCTACCTGCGTTCGCGGAGGCAGCTGCGCTGTGCGGGGCCGGACCTGGCAGGAAGGGAGCAGGGATGAAGATGGGGTGGGGGGGGAATAAGGGCTCCGGCTCTTAAGTTTTTTGTTTTTAAAGCACAAGGGGGTGGGCTGTCTTGCAAGCAACGGGAGCCTGGCATGCAGGGGTGCAGGGCACTAGCTGGGTCACGGGACTGGGGGTGCCCTGCTCACCCTCCATGGGCAAAGCCCAGCCCTTCTGCCACGTGGCTGTGCCCTTGGCACCCAGACCAGGAAGGCGAGCACCTGCTCCTGCCCCGGCCCCAGGGCAGCAACGAACACTAACGAGCCTTTCTATTTAATTGTTGTTCCTTTCTCAAACACTATGCTGGATCCTTGCCTCCGTGCACCCTGCTTCAAGGGCTAAGGCAGGCACTGGTGGGCAGGAGAAGGGGCCCGTGCCCAGGGACTTCCTTGTTTGTTTTTTACCATGTACGTTGAACGGAAAGAATAAAAGTCGGCGGTAGTAACGGTGGTGCTCCGAGTTCCTGCTGGCGGTGGGAAGGGAAGGGAAGGGAAGACTGCTCCTCCTCTCCGTAGGGCTCAGCTGCCTCTGCTTGATGCCTGGGGTGGTCTGAATCCAGCCCCCTGCTCCATCAGCCTGTCTCCTGATGCAGGGGGTCGGGTCATGCGGGTGATGCCTGCGGTGTGTGCCCACTGCCTCCAGCGCTGGGTGCTGGGGGGGTTAATGCAAACTGGACAGGGCCAAGAGAGCTGCTGTCTTGCCTGGAGGGGCTCTTGGGAGCGGGGAACGTGAGGTCCCATGGGGTCATCCCTCTGGGGAGGTGGGGAGCAGGGTTTCTCCCTGCACTGAGATCAGTGCCCTAGGCCAACTCCCTTCTGCCTGCAGCTGTGGGTGCGTGAAGGGGAAGTTAAGCGTGTGGAAATCCAGCTGTGCAATTTCCAATGCCCTGCTGCCACTCGATGCCGCCTGCCTGGGAAGGGCTCAACTTCCCTAAGCAGCTTCCTGGCCTGCAAGTCAGAGCCCTCAGGCCTGTGAGCTGGCAGACCGGCTGTTGTGGTGTCAGAGCTGGAAAACCCCTGGGCTGGGCTGGATGAGGCCTGGCTTCCCCTGGGTAGGGCCAGAGGGAGCAGCTGGGGGGTGTAGCTCTGACCCCAGGCAGGTGGCTGCATGGTGCATGCAGAATTGCACCCAGCACCCCCTTCCCGGGCTGCCAGGGGCATTGCTGAGAGCAGCTAGGCTTGCATAGCACCTGGCACCTGTGGCACTGGCCTCCAGCATCGTGCTGCTCTCCGGAGATGGAGGGGGTATAGCTCCAGCCCTGGCCTGATGTCTGTCGAGGGGCAATGGAGGCTGAGGGGCATTGCTTTATCTGCAGCTGCCGCTTCTCCGGCCATGGCCGCCTTCCCCTCCCAGAGCGCTGCGCCGGCCGGCCGGCTGCAGCCGTGTGCTGGACCTTGGTGCATAAAGGGGCTCTTTCAGCAAAGCCTGGACTCTGCACAAGGCTGCGCCTGTGCTCCAGGCTCGGTGGCCTGCTCCCAGCCCTCAGCCCACCCGGGCTGTTTATCAGCCTCGCGTGCTGTGGCCGCAGCTTATCTGTCCATCGGTGTTTGTGCCTCAGTGCCCAGCTGGGTCACTGCATGGATGGATCTGGGTGGTGACCGGCACCGCTGGCCTGACCGGTTCCTCTAAGCTCTCCTGGCCCAGGCCTGGCAGGGGTAGGAGAGGGGATGGGGATGGGGCTGGGCCCTCTTGCACCTACTTCTATGGGCCCGTGCAATGAGAGACTCCATCTCCATCAAGGGAGGGCCTGGCTGGGAGAAGGGCTGCAGCTGCACTGGTGCTATCCCCTCCAGGGACTCCCTGCCGACCTGGGAATAGCATCTCTGGCTACTGTCCAGTTCGGCACTTCCCGCTCACACGGCCTCGTATTCCCGGGGGAGCCAGAAACCTTTTGCCTTGGCTCTGCGACCAGCAACCACCGCCAACTTGGTGCATGCACATCTCGGGTATGGGCCCCCCCAAACTTGGTCCCTGCCCATCACCCAGGGATGTCCCATGGGGGCACTGCCAGGGGTCAGCCCCTGCATACAGGGAAAGCCCGGGGCCTGGCCGGGCGAGTGTGGACGTGGTACATAGGGAGTGGGGCCAGGCCTGCCCTGCCGGGTGCCAGGCCCCCAGGCACAATGCTGGATCTATGAGGGCCCAGCGGGCAGCGCGGGCAGGACATTGGCCTATTGTTGCAGGGAAGAAAGAACAACAGCAGCTGGCTGGCCTGGCTCCACGGCAGGTTCACCCTTTGCTATTCTTTAACGCGCCTCGGACACCAGTGCAGCCACTGGGCTGGGGGATGCAGCAGCGTGGGCTGGTATCAGCTGGCCCGTGCACCCCGTCCATCCATCCTTGGCCCCGTGCAGGGGGAGAGGGCTCCTAGCCGCTACAGGCGTGCTAAACTTGACGGCTGCCGCATGGCGCAGGAGGGAGGGTGGATGCGCTGCTTGGGGCACAGGGAGAGCCAGCCACGTGACGCCCTCGCCCGTCAAGCAGCCGTCGGCTCCTTTGGTGACACCTGTCAGCTCTAGCCCGGCCGTCCGAGAGCGCCCACCTGCCTCGAACCGACGGGGCAGAAACGCGCCGTGGCTCTCCGAGCAGGAGGCGACGAGGACTCTGCTCTTGGCGACGGTGGAGAGGCAGCGGAGATGCCCACGCCGCCGAGTCTCGCCCAGCAGCAGGGTCGTAGGAGCGTTTGTCCACGTGCTGGGATGCGGCACCGCCTCGGTCACCCTGCGGCCAGCTGGGCAGGGGTCAAAGCTTTGTGCTCACCGCTAGCTGGGCATTTGGGCAGGAAGCAGGGCTTCTGCATTGCTCCCCGGGCCCCCGGTGCATTGGGTCTGAGAGCCGGAGCCTGCTCTGAGCCAGGCTACAATGCGCCCACACCACGGCAGGGCTCGGCCGTGTCCAAAACAGGTCCCCACCTGGGGCTTGGCAGGTTCTCCCTTCACCCTCCATGCAATGCAGACCTGGGTGGCTCCAAGGCTGCAAACGACCTTCCTGCAGCAAAAGGATTCCCGCATCCCAAGCCAGCCAGGCCTGAAGGAGCCATGGGTCCCTGTGCAGGGAGCAGGGCTGGGGCTAGCAGGCCCCCAGCTTCCCTCCAGCTGGGCTGCAGCACTGGCAATCAGGCCTGCAAATTGGGAGCAGATGCTGGGCTCCTGCGCTCTGCACTGGGGCTGGCTGCTCCACCTTCCCTCCCCTGCTCCCGGAGCAGGGCTGGGAGCCTGGCCTGGCTCGGCTCCTTTCCTGGACCAGCTTGGGACTTAGCCTGGGTTGTGGGGTGCTGAGAAGGGCTTGGGAGGGGTGGGGGATGCTGGGGAAGCCAGCCACTGCCTCTCTGCACCATTACTGGTACCTGGCTCTGTCTCATCCCTCCATCAGCTGGGGCAGAGGGGAAGGTCCCAGGCTGGGGAGATGCAGGAGCTTGTGGCCAGGGTGGAGAAGCTCACGTTCAAGTTGGAGATGGATGTGATGCAGCAGAGAGGGGCCCTGCTGCTGCCCTTCCCGGGCATGGACAGTAAGTCACGGGCTGGGTTGGGGACCTGAACTGCCTGGACCTCAGCTGTTTGCAGCCTTTCTTGTGCATGGAGGGGGCTCCATCTCTCTGGGGGCACAGCTGCTTGCTTGGCTCTGCCAAACCCAGCCTGTCTGAGTGCTGAGATAGCAGCTCCATGGCTGCCCCAGGGGCTGGGAGCTGGGTCAATGCAGGTCCTGGTCTAAGTTAGACTTACTGGGGGGTGCAAACGGGAGACCCCAGTGCACCAGCTGGATTTTCACCCTGTGCTTCCAGGGGTAAACTCTCCATTGGAGTAACCCCAGGGAGGGGGTCCGTGCCATCTGCCCGCTACTGCTTTTGCATTGGGGTAATACCAGCGAGCCTCGTGCTTGCCTGTGCCCTGCAAGCCGGGGCTTCCCCATCCCTCTGAGCAGCCGGGGATGCCCGTGGGCTGCAGCCAGTGCCCCCGTAACCTCCTCTCTCCCCGCAGAGTCGGGGGCAGCCGTGTGCGAGTTCTTCCTCCGCGGACTGTGTGGGAAGGGTGAGTAGCCCCAGGGCCATGTGTGGGATGGGGGGACACTAGCCATGCCCCGCAGGGGTCACGAGCTGAGCTCACAGGCAGGTCCCCTAAGCTTGCATGAGTCCTGAGTTTGGCATGGATTTGGGTGACCCCAGCTGCAGCCTGGATGCCACCCAGGCCTGGCAGCATGGCCCTGGCTCAAGCAGGCGTCGCCCCGGGCCAGGCCTGATGTGCCCCTTCCGGCACGCGCATGGGAAGAAGTCGGTGGTGTGCAAGCATTGGCTGCGGGGGCTCTGCAAGAAGGGGGACCACTGCGAGTTCCTGCACGAGTACGACGTCACCAAGATGCCCGAGTGCTACTTCTACTCCAAGTTCGGTGCGTGCCGGCAGCTGGGGATGGGGGCGATGCTGGGACCCTGCTCTGGCTCTGCTGGGAATAGGGGGCATCTGCTGTGTGGTGGTTATGGGCAGGGGGGCTTTGCTCAAGCCCACCCCTCTTTGGAGCCCTGCTCCGAGTGCTGCTGGTTGCAACGGGCCTGGGAACGGGCAGCGGGCGCCACCTGCTGTCCCCCTCCCCGAGAGAGCTGGCAGCCCGGGTCCAGCCGCCCTGGCCCGAAAGCCCCCGGAGAAGGCCCTGCGCTTCCATGGGGCTGCCCTTCAGCTTGCATGGAGGGAAGCCCTTCCCCTGGGGAGGGTGGGGACCTGTGCAATGCACCTGCACTTGTCCTTGAAATCCTCCTGACCCCGGGAATATCCCAACCCCACTCCCAGGTGAGTGCAGCAACAAGGAGTGCCCCTTCCTGCACCTCGACTCGGCTTCCAGGGCGAAGGACTGTCCTTGGTACGACGAGGGGTTCTGCAAACACGGTGAATACCTCGCGCTTGGTGAAGCCCACCCGGGGGGCAGCGAGAGGAGCAGTGAGGCAGGACTCCTGGTTACTCTGCTTAGCTGTGCCACAGAGTGGTGTTGGGGGGCCTTGGTTTCCCTCTGTAAAATGGGTATAATACTTGCTTTGTGGCACCCTTGGAGCCTATTTGGAGTTATTGGGGGGGGGGGGGGGGCGAGGGAAATGGGGAGGCAGCCAGGCTGCAAACCCCACGATCAGTCTCTCCGCTGTTTGATATCGGTGCCTGCCACTGCCCCAAGCCTAGTTCTCGCTGGGCTCTGCTGACCACCGTCTCTCCCTCTGGCTGCGTGTGTGGCAGGTCCCCTGTGCAGATACAAGCACACCCGGAGGGTCATGTGCACCAACTACCTGGCTGGCTTCTGCCCCGATGGCCCTCGGTGCAAATTCATGCAGTACGTATCCATGCAGGCAGCTGCGATGCCCGGCAAGCCTCTCCCGGGCTGTGCCGCTGTGGCATTGCCCTCCGCTGAGGCCTGTGCATGCGGGGTGGGTCCGTGCTGCTCTATATCTAGGGTCCAGGCTGGCAGCTGCTGCTTCCCCTCCCATGTGCCCCTTGCTCCAGCCAGAGCTGGTCAGAGCCCCTTGCCAGCCTCCAGACGCCTGGACAAGGGCTCGCAGGGACATGGCCATGTGCAAGGAGTGAATTGACCTTTCTTTCTGCTCTAGCCCCAAGGCCAACTTGATGCTGGACAGCTTGGAGCGCTCCAAGGTAAGGCCTGGCAAGGGGCTGCGACGCTACTGCCCTGTGCCAGGCTCGTGGGCACAGCTAGGGAGAGCAAGAGAAACCCAAGCATGCCCAGCGAGCACCCCTGTGCTGGGCACTGCTGTGTCACCGTCGCTCGGTGCCGCTCTACGGCCACGTGCTGCAACTTCATTGGGGTTCCCTCTAGGCACAGGGGGGGTTCTCCAATTTTGGGGGAGTCACCCCCCTTTGAAGCTTGCAGACAGCCTGCAGCAGGGCACCTGGTTCAGGATGGGCATGTCGTGCGCTGCCATCCAGGTGGGCGATGGAGCGCCCCAGGACCCCCCAATCAGGGGGTTTAACATCGGCGCATCTTTGGCATTTGTCCTTCAGGGGCTGGGGCCTCTGGATTGACACTTTTTCAAGCAACCTTGGTCCTATTTGTAATGGAAGTTGAGAGCTCCTGGGTAGGAGCACAGCAGTGGGGGATTGAAATCATGACCTGCCTCCGATGCTGTCCCCCACCCGGGGTGACTGACTGATTTCCCCCTTGCACAGGGGCTTCCCGTGACGACAGATGGAGATGGCGGTCACAAGCCGTCCCTCCCAGAAGCCCAGTTGTTCCCTCGCCCTTCCCGGGGCAGCAGTGCCCAGCACCCGGCCAAGAAAGCACCAGAGACCAGCGGCTACCCCTATGGATTCCTGCGGCCCCTCGAGCAAGTGACATGCTTCAAGGTGAGCGCTGGTGGTAGAGACAGGCTTGGGCGGGGATCGGGGTGGACTTCAAGCCCTCGGAGCAGAGAGAGCCAAGTCCTGGACTCAGAAGCCATGCACCATTGAGGGGCCATTGCACATTACGCCGTTGTGGCCTTGCTGGTATGCCTGGATCCATGCTCGACTGTACATTCAAAGCTCTTGGGTCAACTGGTTCACAGGTGCTGCCCAGAAGGGAGTCAGTTATTCTCTGTGCTTCCCTTCCAGTGTGGGGAGAAGGGTCACTATGCCAATAAATGCGGCAAGAGTCGTCTGGGGATGCTGCTGGGGAAGTGACTCGTGAGCCTCCTTGGAGGAGAAGCCAGAGGAAGATGCCAGGCTGCGACAGGCGGTATCATCTGGAAGCCCGTCAGAATTTAACCGGGGAACCCAGCCAGGGAAACCCGGCTCGGGGCAACTTTCTTTGTCAGCTCCTTGCACAGCGAGAGGAGGGGGGGGGATGCAGCTTCAGTGGTGTCGATGGTAACCGCAGTTTCCACTGGCTTTGCAAATGTCATGCCGTCTCCTGCATTGGATCAATGGCTCGCCTTTTCAGACTGTGCATCAGATGTATAATCATGCCAGGACTAAAGTACGGGGTGAGCGCAGTCAGCGTCTGGAGCTGGGTTTAATGTGGGGGGTGGGGAGGCTTTGCAGCAGAGGTGAGGCTGACGAGAGCTTGCATCAAGCTGCGGGGAAATGTGGTTTTCCTCCCCTCCTCTAGCAAAATGCCCAAGCTAAGGGCAAAGATGTAACTCATTCCAACTGCATGCGCCTGCAGGGTCTTCCTTGAAAAACCCGCGCAGCTTCCTACCTGCAGGCTTCCCTGAGACACTGGGACGTGGAGAGAGATACTAATGTCCCCTTAATATATGGAGGAGCATGTATAGGCCCAGGAATCAATGCTGATGGTGACCTCTCTCTTGACCCAAGTCACTTGGCTCCAAGCCTCTACTTTCTCCTCTGTAAAATGGGGCTGAGGGGTGGGATCCCCCAAGGGAAGGTGCAGCGGGGCTTTGATTTTAAAGGAACAGGTGGTCCCAGAGCAGAACTGGGGGAGCGCAGAGGAGACTGGTTGCTGGAGGGGGGTGCTCACTGTGACCTCTGCACAACTGGATTTTCGTGAGTTGTCCTACAGTTTATTTCTAATAAAGTTTATTCTTCAGCCTGTTGTGATTGCCCGTCCCTATCGTACCCTCTCTGCTCTACACCTTGCAGCTGGAGGAAGCAGCTTTGCAGCTCCTTCTCAACCCAACCTCCCGCTGCACAGCTGTTCTGGGACTTAGGAGTGGATTAGAGATAAGTGGTGTCTGCAGCAGGTAAACCCTGCTTTGCAGGATACCAAGGCTGGGAGCAGCCCTCCTCTTCCTCACTGCCCAGTGGTAAACGGTACGTGTTGTAAGCTCGGAGATGCATGGGGAGGAGGGGGATGTGGAATGGGGGCAGAAGCCCCGTCCAGAGCAGAACCCTTTTGAAGGATGGGAGTAGTTATTCCTCTAAAGTCCCACTTCTCCCCTCCCCACAACCCTACTCATCATTGCAGCGTACCCGTGCATGCAGCGAGAGACTGAAGTTTGATGTGAGCTGAAGCAATAACTACTACTGAGCTCTGATACCCATTTTACTGGCCTGTCATTCAGCTCTTGCTATTTAGTGAACACGAATGCTTGGAAGAGCAGCAGCAACATGCAGGTCGACACCTGTGTGGTACTGAATGGGATGGGAGGGGCATTCAAGACAATATTCCCCTTAGGAAAAACTTAATATATTTAATTTCAAAACCAAAGCATCCTGTGCCTGCCCCGAATCCCTGCTGGAACGCAGGCAGCGAGATCCAGGCCCTGTTCCCACACCGCCGTCCAGGCTCGTCCGTCACGGTGCCACCTTCAGTGGTACTTGCGCCACCGACTGGCTTCTTTAATGAGAGAGAAAGGTGTGTTACAACATAATGTGTGTGAAACTTGTTACCTTGGGTATAAGGGAGTATACCCTGGGTATAAATAAGCTTGTTACCCTGGGTATAAAGGAGCGTTATGACATAACTGTGTGTGCAACTCGTTACCCTGGCTATAAAGGAGTGTGCTGTTGCTCTGGTTGCTTTTAGACATTGAGATCACCTAAGCTGCCTTATTGCTGTAGAGGTTTTTTTAAACCTCTCTCTACTAATTACCATGGTTGCCCCTTGCAGGTCGACCGTCCAGTAACTAGCAGGCCTGTGAAGTGTGATAGCTCAAGGAAGGGCAGACAGCGTACTGGCAGGAGTAAAGGGATTAAAATCCTAATTGTAGCAGCAAAAGTAATGTTGAAACCTATGGAGATGTGTCCAGGTACAAGTGTGTTCCTCCCTGGCTAACAGCTGCAAGGCTGGGAGGGAAAGACTTCTGGAAAGCTTTGCTCACTTGGGGCTCAGAGGGTTTTACAACCCTGAAATGCTAGCGTACGAACCCAGCTCTCTGAAAATGGGTTGTGCGATGGGAGTCTGATTGTGCCCATCACCACGAGAACAGTCAGCTGCTGAAAGTACCCACAAAATAGGAAAGTAGCACCTCCCCTGCCCCGGGTAGGGAGCAGAGTGGTGTGATCCCAGCCTGTGCTGCCCAGTGTGGCCACCCTTTCCGGACAAGTAAGAATAGCTCAGCTCGGAGGAAGGACTTATCCCATCCATCATAAGCGAGCTGGATCAGGCACATAACACGGGGCCTTTCCAGCTGGTTACTATAGTGTGGCCAGTCCCCGCTGCTGAGGGCTTTGATTCCAGGTTGTGAAACCACCGACTGGTTTATGCTGGTGTCAGAGGGGTGGCAAACTTCATGACTACAACAAACCAAGTCTTGTAACTAAAACCAATACTGATGTTCTGCTGGGGAGCTGCATCCTGTCCTTACAGGGGATGGCAAGTCATATTTGTGCGGCGTGGAAGCCCGTGCTCCCTGTGCTGAAACAGCTGACATAAAGGAAAGCTCCTAAAGGAAGACTGCCCTGAAAGGAGAGAGATGCCAATAAGAAACCCTTACTCATGTGCTCGTATTGCCAGCAGTAGCTGAGGACGCAGTAGCCAGCCAAGAGCATGGAGATCCCTGCAGCTCCTCCCTTCTTCATGTCGATGTATTTGCTGTAGTAGCTGTTCCAGGCTGTTGAAACAGATAAAGGGCCCAGCTCGCTCGCTGCTTTTACAGGAGTGCCGATGGGCTCGTTACCATTTAGAAGCCAAACGACCGGCTCAGCCTAGTCCCTTCCCCCTGGCAGCGGCACCTCGGCACCAGCTGTTTCTTACCCCAATTTGCTGCCTCCTCCTTCAAGCAGGCTCTAGGCACCAAGGGGAAGCAAGCGCTCCCGCCTCACCTGTCTGTGTTGTGTTCAGCAGCCCCTTTGGAGAGAAGTCGCGGGTCACCAGCCAAACGGGCAGCTCCCCCAGCGTCACGTCCAGCAGACACTTTTCCAGAAGGGGACCTGCAAAAGGCAGAGCCGTGCACATCAGAGGTAGAGGGGACAGGGCTGGGGCACGGTGTCCGTGTGCTTTGCTGGCAGGAGGGGGCACTTGAACTTCCTCAGCTTCGCTCAAGGCCACTTGTGCCATGGGCCTTTCATTGCGTCTGTCTGAAATGATGCCTCCAGCTCCGAGTGGATGAGTCTGCTCTCTTCCCTAATGGTGAGGCCTCAGGGAAGGCGATTCCTGCTTCCTGCCTGGATAAAGAAAGGTGCTCTGGATGCTGTAGAGAGGGCACCGGGGAGAGGAAAGCTCTTTCGGGTATTAAGACACGTGGGTCTGCTGCCTGCATGGGGCTGTCTGGGGAAGTCAAGGAAGAGACAGCTGCTGGCTGCAAGAAGGTCCCTGGTAATCCTCTATTCTGTGTGAGAGCCCATGTTGCTCAGCGGCACATCCCTACCTTGTAAAGTCCAAGCCTGCAAGGTATCACAGGCCAGGGGCTAGCTCTAGGGCTGGGGTGGGGAGGTCTGGACTGGAGATGCCCCAATCTGGGGGGCACGGGGAAAAAACACTCCATGCAAAAGGGAAGCAGCCCTGTTTCCCCAGGAGACTATGCAGCTAGCTATGCTGTTGCTGGTGAAATGAGCCATCCCCCCCGACAGGAAAAGTCCATCAGTGAGAAACTGGTACCCGCTCCCCCTCCTGCAGGACAACTGAAACCGCCAGTGACCTCCAGGCAGCGAGTGTGAGAGGCAGGGCTGCAAGCCTCCTGCTTTACCTTGCTGCCCTTTGGAGAAGCTAGGCACCGTCTCTCTTCTTACAATTCCCACGTCCCACTGCAGAGGCTTCCCCCGAAATGCGTTCAGCCTGCGATAACTGGGATACAGTTCTGGAAACCACTCCAGCCCCCTGGCACCTGCCAGCCTGCTATTGCCAGATACCTGGGACAGGTGGAGGGGTTGGTGTTGGGAGCCGGAGACCAAATACTGTTTCAATGCCAGCTTTGTGTATTTTGGCGTATTTGGAGGAGAGTCGGAGACGTGGGCAGGCTGCTGCTCGTCCTTCACGAGCTGCGCTATGCAGGAGAGGCGGTTGTCGGGCGTTTCTCCCCTGTGACTTGGCAAAGTACCTGCGACTGATGGATGTGACTTCCTGGTGTGGACCTTTGGATCCACGTCACCGAGCAAATCGACCCACCTCACTCTTGTCAGATGTTCATCTCCGCTCTGCTGAGCAAGCTCACCAAGACGACCCCGGTGCGCGGACGCTACGGGCGCATCCAGCACGGGCGTTTCAAGTGCAGTGAACCCATCGCCTTTTCTGCTCTTTTTTCTCAGCGCGTTGCTCTCTGCAGCCTCGGGAATGAGCGTCTCGGCGTCCGTGGTTTCCAGAACAACCTCTCCGTGGCTGGCCAAGCAGTCTGGGTCCAGCAAGTCCACGTACCAGCTCTGCATCTCATGCTGCTCCCCAGGGACGCTTGTTGCTTTAATGTCCCTCGGCTTGGATTTCTTCTGGTCTTTGCGCACTTTGACCTGGCGCTTCTCAGTCACTACATTCAACTCGCCTACATCCTCATCGCTGGCTGCAGGCTCTGCCTTGGCTCTTCTTCGTGGTGCAAGGGCTTCGACTGGAAATCCCAAAGCAGATTTTGCATCCTGGCTCCCCGGAGCAAGTTCCAAACCTTTGCCAGGTGCTGAACTTGAGCGACCAGACGCTTTTTTACTTCTGCTTTTCTGTGCCGGGAGTAACTCCTGTGCAGCCGGTGCCTTAACGGGCACCTTCCTCGCTGCCTTCATGTGTGTTTTGTCCTCGTTTTGGAGGATCTCCTTTCCCTTCTCTTTCTGGGTCTTCTTCGAAGTCCGTTTAATTGGCTGCTCCGTATTGTTATCTGGTTTTTCTGTGTGCAAGTCACTGGTTTTTCTCCTTTCAGCAGCGCTTTTGGGCTTTTGTGTGTTGTGTGCTTTGTTCTTTGCTGCACCAAGCTGCTTTTTCTGACTTTCTGGTTTTGAGTCAGTCTCTGCAGTTGTTACCTGGCCTTTGCTTTGTCCTTTCTTTTTCTTGGTGGACACAAGCTGAGCTGGCTCTGAATGCCCCTTTTCCAGGTCAGCACACAGTGCTTTTCTGGAGTCTAAAGGAGCGCTCTCATCTCCTGCCATCTTGCAGCGTGGCAGGTGCATCTTCAGCCGCTTAAAAGGCTTTCTACAGAACGGGCACAGCTCCATTCCTGTGGGGACCTTTGCCATCTTTTTACCTGGAAAGGCAAATTTAAACACAGGGATATTACTTAATGGCATAGGGTGTAGCAAAAATGCATGCTGTGCTGGGAACTACGAGGAGGGCAAATTCTCTTCCAACCAGGAACTGATTGGCAGGGCACAGCACACAAGGGAAAAATGACTAGATAGCAAAGGGAAGTCAACACATTTTTTGGGGTGGGGACAGGGACATCACTGTAAAGGTGTAAAACTGGGAGTGAGAGAGATGGAGGCTCAGAAGGCAGAGACAGCTTGCCTATACTGGCAAAAGTGAGTTACATAGGGGATCTGCAAACAGCAAAGGTTACTAATGAAACATACCTTTAGTTAAGCATATTGCAAAGCCTGGGAGTCTCCTCCCTAGCTTGCTCGGAGGGCCTGATGGCTAAGGGCAAGGAAAACTCAGGGGCATCCCAACCCCACACCTCTGGGCTTGGTCCTGCCAGGGCCCACCAGAGGATTTGGAAACATCTGAAGCCCCACGTGTGGGTGGAGGATGTTTGCCGGTAGCAGGGCCACCTATGGTCCTGGACTGCCTCGCGGGTTTGGAACTGGATTCAGCTTGGAAGATGGATAAATTTAATGAAAACCAAAACAACCCCTATGCAAAGCCCTCGAGTCCTTGTCAGCCCCGCTGTGATGGCTGCAGGGTCGAGGGCTGTCCAAAAGCAAGACCACTCGCTCCGTGCTGCTCTTTGCTTTGCAGGGGAGTCTCAAGGACACGCACCCAGGAGCAAATCAGTGGGGTGCTCATGCCCCAGCTGCAGGGGTACCAGCTGGCTTCCAAGTGCAGGAAAGGAGGGGAGAGAAGTCCCTTAGATAAAGCAAAATTAAAAATCCTCCCCCCCCCCCTACACCCCCCGCAAGCCAGCTGGGTGTGCGGCCCCTCCGCTCCCATTGCTCCAGGGATGCAAGGGGAACCAGATCACCCCACTCCCCCTCTGCAGCTCACCCCCCAGGAAGCAACCCGGCAGCTCCCCCCCCTACCTGCCTGCAGCCTGGGGGAGGGAGCAATGGGTACCACGAGCTCTGACCTCACTTCCCAGAGGCGGTGCAAACCCTGCCTGCCCGGGGTGTGGACGCAGCTGTGGTTGCAGGCTCAGCCTGTCACATGATCCCAGCCAGGACCAGAGCTGATGCTAATAAAAGCCCAGGCATAAAACCTTTTGCAAAGCAAAGCAGGCAAGCGTAAGATTTTTGTGCAAACAAGGCATTTGGGGTGGGGTTTTGACTGGTCCTTTTCCAGCCTTTTTTTGCTTGCTTTTCTCTGCAGCGGTGTCATGCAGAGGGATTTGAGGTTTCTCAAGGAAAAAGGACTCTTGGATTTGGAATTAGTTTTTGCTAATTTGGGATGCATACAGAAAAAGAAAGTGATATCTTTTATTAAACCAACTAAATAGTTGGGACAATTGTTCTTTGCTCGAATGGCACAAACACGCTTCTTCCGCCATAGGGAGAGCCTGCTTCTGTTTCGTGTTCTTCTGCATGGCAAAGAAGCCAAAATGCAACGTGCAAAATGCAGGGAAACATGCAAAATGCAGGGCAGGGAAAGCAGAGGTGGCAGGGAGTCGCCAGCAGCTGGATGTTCACAGCCATGCACTATGTAGCACGTGGAACCACGCAAAATGCAACATGCAAAATGCAGGGAAACGTGCAGAATGCAGGGCAGGGAAAGCAGAGGTGGCTGGGGAGTCACTAGGGGCTGGATGTTCATAGCCATGCACTGTTTAACACGTGGCTTGTGCACTGGTGGCTCTGAGAGCAACCCCTGTGCTGTTGCCTTCTGCTATAGTGCTGGACTCTTGGGTCCAGAGAAGGACCACAGGAAAGATGAAGGGCCTGGAGGACCAACCTTACGAGGAAAGACTAAGGGATCTGCTCAGCCTGGGGAAGAGAAGACCGAGGGGGGACATGGTGGCTGTCTATAAGCATATAAGGGGTGAATATCGGGAGCTGGGAGAAAAGCTGTTCGCTAGGGCGCTCCAGGGGAGGGAGGACCAGGAGCAATAGCCATAAACTATGCAGCGGTTCCCAAACTCTGGCAGATTGCGCACTGCCACTTTAAAACGGTACAACTTTAAGTACCACCAGCACGTTTTTGCCATATGATCATTGATGATCATTCGAGGTCCCTTCCAGCAAGGGTTGACAGCCCTCCTGGATTGCCCGGGAGTCCACCAGAATTGGCATCGATCTCCCGGTGACTATTGAAAGCAATCCGGGAGATGGATACGGTGAACGGGTTGAACAGTACAATTAATGACATTTTGGGACAAAAAATCTCCCGGAATAGCTTCAGTCAGCATTGGCAACCCTATTTGCAGCCATCTGACGGGTGCAGGGAAGGAATTGTCCTGATCTACACATTGAAGAGCTACTCGGCGCAGCTCACAAAGATGCTCCTGTGGACCCTAAGGGACAGCCTTCCCTCTTCAGCTCCCTCTGTGCAACAAATGAAGTTTATTTCCTACCCATGGGGACTTTTTATCATCTATACTTTTCCTCAGAGCCTGATGAATGGACTCGGATCCTGAAAGTTTGCAGAAAAGGACCATTTTCTTGCAATATCCCAATTGGTTTAATAAAAGGTATCATTTTGGAACCAAGGGTTGTATTTTTTTTGTATACATACTATTTCCAGCCCTTCGTTTCTAGGATTCTCAATGCCAAAAAGCAGGAGAGGGTTGGTGGGGGCAGGTAGGAACTATCCCTCCTCTGCTTTGCTTTTCCTAGTTGCAAGGAGGAGCTGGGTGCTGGATGGAAGAGGGCGCAGCCTGCTCTGCAAGCCCAGAGCCTGCTTGGGTGAGTGCAGGGAACCATGTCTGGAAAGGGGTGCAAGCCCCTGAGAGGCACAACCCTGCTGCTGCGCAAGGGTGACCCTGGCTGGGATGCAAGGGCTTTTGTGTGTGCTGGGGTGGGGGGGCTGTTTGTGTTGTTTGCACTGAAGGGGTGTCAATAAAGCTGTTGTTGCACGGCTGTCCTTGCGAGCGGCTGTTCATAAAACTGTTGTTGAAGGGCGGCCCTTTAAGAGCCCCTAGGGGGCCTTCCTAGCAGCAGGGTGTCTCCAGTACTGCCTGCTAGGGAAAAGCCACTATTTGATGCCGCAGCACAGTAACCAGGCTGACTAGGGGGCTGCGAGATACCTCGAATCCCCTCCTCACTACAAACAGCATATTCCAAACAGGCAAAGCTGCGGGCACCTACAGGAGAGGCTTCGGGTCACAAGAGGCTTATTGTCACGATTGGGCGCATGCGCCCTGAGCCCCAGACCCCTGGGAGGAAAGACGCACCGTGCCTCCTGCGCACGCGCACATGGGCGGAGCGCGTCGGCCCGCCGGCCCGTCAGGGGGCGGGGCCGGCCCTTGCGCTTGCGCAGGAAGGGGCGCGCAGCGCGGCCCGCTCAGTGCGCCTGCGCAGTGGAGGGGCGGGGCCGAGAAGCGCCTGGTGCGCCTGCGCAGGAGGCGGAGACGCCGGAAGCGGCGGTGTGAGGTGAGGGGGATTTGTCCCCACCGTGGCTGGCTCCTACCCTGGGGGTCTTTAAGAAGCAGCTCGATGCCTACCTGGCTGGGGTCACTTGAGCCCAGCTTCCCTCCTGCCCAGGCAGGGGTCGGACTTGGTGATCTACAAGATCCCTTCCGACCCCACTAATAGGATTCTGGGATTCTATGAAAAACTCGCCGAGAGCTGCTTTCGAGCTGCCGAGTCGGCGAAATAAAATACATCGCATCTGCGTTACTTGGAAATAGCAAAGAGCGAGTCAGCAGGGATTTATTATTGCCTCCCTCTCACCAGACCAAAACAGGGGCGGGGGGTGGGGGGCAGCACAAACTGGAACGAGTCGGTAGCAAGTTTAAAACGAGCAAAAAGATGTCTTCTTTCATGCAGCCTGTAGTGAAAGTGTGGACCTCGTTGCCGCCAGATATGGGGGGAGCTGACGGCTTGGGCACGTTCTTGGAGGAAAGGGGCATCGGCTGCTATTGATCGAGGGGCGCGGCCTCCGAATCGGACCTTCCCTAGGCCTTAAATGCTGGAGGGTGCAAGCGAGAGAGGACTAGTTGGGTGGAAAACGCTGTTCAGACCCTCCCGCCTCTGCCCGGTGCGGCGCAGGAGTCTCGGCGAGGCGGATCTACGGTCTGGCCCAGTACACGGCAGGTCTTATCGCCCAGGCACCCTCTTCTGCGCTCCCGTCCTTTGTACAGAGCAGTGCCCACGTAAAGGCGTTGTTCTTGGGCATGAACGTGGGGTGCTTTGGTTCTCGGCAGCTGGAGCAGCTTTGCCCTAGGTTTTGCCTGGCGTGCGGATCCTGACAAGCCTCTGGATGCAGCTGTCAGCAAACAAACCAGGACGGGAGACGCTGGATGCTGCTCCTCGTCAAACGTTGCTAATTTGTTGGGATGTCTGCCTCTCAAAAGCCTATTAGTTGCTGCTGTGTTTTGTCTTGATCATCCCATGAAGCGGGAGTGATGTCACAAAAGTGGGGCCGAGACAGCCAAAGCAGCGAGGGGCTAACAGGGTTGGCTTTTTGCATATGATGTTTTTTTTTGCAGGGTCTGAATTATAATGCTTTTAGGAGTTTAAATAGCTGTCCTCTGACCTGGCTTCAAATGCTGTCAGGGAGGAGAAGATAAAGGAAGTCGACACAGATGTCTTGATTGCAGGATGCATGTAAACAAGATGAACTTAACTGGGTACCTATTGAAGACTTTAGTCACTGCTGTTTTCTTCCCTGCTGCTTTTCTTAGACAGGCGGATGTCATTCAGAAATCCCCGGGGTTATTTTTAGAAATGTTTACGTATTAAGCAGCTTACTTGCATGGCTGAGATGTTCAAAGGAGTTTAGAGTATTTACGTACACGCTTCTCGCTAACTTTACTGTAAAATAAGAGTCTGTAGTCCCTAGATCGCTTTGAAAATGTCAGCCTGGGAATAATTTGGGGGGGAAAAAAAAAAAAAAAAGAGCTTGGAAATCTCCTGTAATGATTAAGTTGCAGGGAAAAAAATGTAAATCCACAGCAGAGGTTAGGTTTTTGGAGCGTTCAGTAGGTACTTATCATTTTTAGTTTTTCAGTTTAAGACTCACGGCTTAGACGAGGCAATATATGAGGTAAGCTCAATTGAGAATGGGCTGCCAAGTTTTTAACTTCCCCCCCCCCCCCATACCTTTCCTTAGGAAAAGGAGGCGGAATGGAAATGAAGAAGATGGCCACATCCCACAGACTAAGCGTAGTACCAGAAACGCAGTCCTTCAGGACTCCTGGGATACAGAGGTGAGATGCTTCCCGGTCTGCTTCAGGGTTTTGCTGAAGCTGGAACTGAAGGAATAATTGGCATGTGCATAATTCTGCTTATGGGGAAAAATCACTCGCTCAGACGTACAAATACCTCATACATGAAACTCTTGAGCCTGGGCACAGTGTTGTGCTTCAAGTACTGGATTTTCTTCCCACGGTTTGGAAATCAGCATGTTTTCCATTTCAGTTGGTAACCTTTTACTTGAATGAATGTTTTCACATATCTGATATTTCATAATTCACTTACTTGTGCAGCCACTGCATTATGCTGGCAGCAGAGAGACTTTCCCTGCCCCAGGGACTGAGTTGAGTATAGCAAAACGAGAAAGATAATAAACGGATTACAGGAGCGTGTGGCTGCTTTCATCTGGCTGCGTACGCTTCCAACTTCCTTTACTAGTTACTAACTAAAATGAATGAATTGATAATAGAAACTAATGAGCACTCTTCCATGTGCTAATAGTTCTGTTATGTTGGTAACTAATGTGATAGTGCTCCTTGTAAGCAGTAATGCTAGATTGCTGTTTGCAGAGTACAATAGTGATGCTAAGTGTTTTTACTCTTGAGAGTCTCGTCTTTAATGCAAGGGTTGTGAGCTCTCTGGATTTTGTTCCTGGCTCTGCTGGGCTTTTGTGTTTGTGTGCGCGAGAGAGATGATAGATAACCTCCTAAATTCCCAGTTTCTTAGTTGTCCCTGCCTGTAAAATGGGGGATTTTTAACTTGCGGGTATTTAAGACTGGGGATCTAATCTTTGCTGAAATCTATTAAAAAGTTCCCACGGATTTCTTGCAGAGTCATTGGTTGCATCATATATGAGTCATTTTTATGGTACTCCTTGATCCTCATATGGAAAGAGCCATGCAAGGATAGAGACTTGATTTTCTGCTTTTGAAACATTTGGGGAAAAATCCTTATTTCCAAACTGTGCTTTGTGTCCAGTGCTGCTTACCTTGTACTCACTGACGCTGAAAAAAATGGTGTTTGTACTCTTGAGTTGCAGTGATCGACTGCAAACTCAGAAATAAGTGGTGCAAGAGGAGATTCCTTCAGACCTTGTCTTCCAGGAAGTTAAAATGAGATGGCTTTGTATTAGGATTTTTCAATATATGTACATAACCCCCACACTTCCAGAGAGGCATGTTGCTAAAAACAGATGGAGCAGTCTATCTGAAAATTAGTGGCTCATGTGGCAGACCATGGTATTGTGTATAGGGATGAAATTGCCCTTTGGTTCTGGGGTTTAATGGGCGGAGCAAAAAACCAGCTGCTTCCTGTCTGACTCTGAATCACTTGTCAAACAGGTTATAAACATCACTTGACATGTATAGAGTAGTTAATGGCTAAACAAGATCTGTGGCGGGAGGGGGAAGAATTTAGTGTGGAACAAGGGATTAAACTAAGAGTACTGAAACTAAGAATTTCAGGAAAAACCTTCTGAAACACCTTTGCTTGTCATTTAAACACTTAACATTTGGATTTGGCAACTAGTAAATTCACAGAAATGGGAACCACTGAGTAACTGTGTAGAGTGAGTGGATGCTCTAATAAAGCCTTTCTGTGCAGCTGCTGATTCTCTGAACTGCCTGCACATTGGAAGCATGGGCATGAACCTTGGGTGATGGCTTTCCTGCTTGCTGTGCCATCAGTGAAATCGAATTGAAATCAAATTGCTTAATCTAACATTGAGCCTACCATTTTGTGCATGCACCTGCATTGCCAGAGTCTGTCTTTAACAAATTAAAATGCACTGATGTGCAGAAAAAGTAGAATCTCATCTTGCTGATGTTGTACTGGGGGGAGTGTTCCTGCTGGGCACAGAGTTAAAAACATCAGTGTTATTTGTGCCTGTAGGATCTAGAGGCACTTACTTCACAGTAAGTGCTGCTGATGCATATAGTTTTTGCAAGAGCTGACTCTTCATACTTTACTTTTCCTTCTTGCTGTTCTCATCTTTGATCACTGAATCAAGTGTGCCCTGAAACTAAATGATGAGATTAAATCAATACTTTTTCCGGAGGCTTTTTAAAAACTTCCCATGCCAAATAGTTAAATTCTTCTGTCCGTGGTGCATGAATATGCTGTTCATACCGCTTTGAAATTGCTGACTGTGTGTAACCTCTCTGCTTCATAATTGCAAAGTACAGTAACAAGGCAGCTCTCCCTCAGAACTTTAGACCAGCTTCAGGGTATTGGAGGTGTAGGGGAATTGTAAATGTAAATGCATAATTAAAATGAAATTATAAATAAGTAATTGTGATTTCCCTCTCCCTCCCCTTTCTTGGGTTAAAAGATAACTTTCTTCTGTCTTTTAGGCATCCTGTTGAGTTTGATTTCTCTAAAGGCAGACCATGAACTTGAAAATCTGTTTATTTGAAAATGTCACGCCTTATAATATTACAAATAATAGTTAAGGATGGTAGGATATTTGCTTTATGCACTTGACAGTAATTTACATGTCGAGTTTAGGTGGCATTATTCTTTTTTATATACAGCATTAATGTTTGTTAGTGACAGTTCACAGATGGGGTATTGACTTGTGACTCTAAGTAGCCCTCATGCATTGGGCGGTTTTTCTCTCACTGCCTGTGTGAGCTAGATTCAGTCCAAAAATCTTCACTCTTTTCCCCCCAAACCTCTTCCCCCACACCATAGGCAATGAGCTTGATATTTTGTCTAGATCCTCCAGCCACCAAAATTGGGATTCTTGTCAGCACCCATCAGTTCTGCTCATTGCAAGGTTCTCGCTCTCCCCAGCGATGCAGTTTGATCCATAAATGTACATTTGAAATGGCCGTGCTGCAGCTCCTGGATATGTTAACTTGACATAGGGGCCACACATTGAATGTTCACCACATTTTCAATCTACTTTGGCTGTCACCTTTTCCAAGACATGAGCTTGGTGTGGTTGGTTTTGCTGTAAATGTCCATTTATAAGTTAACAATTTTGATTCTATCTTCAAACGCATACATGCAAATGTCTTGTATTCCTCCACTACAGCGTACGTGGATCTGCATAGAACTGTAGCAGATCTGAGAAGGTGCCAGCTGACAAGTATCTTTGCAGCATTGCTAGATGGAGCTTTTATCCACCAACAGAATCAGCAAGGAGAGCTGCTAAGAACTTGTTCCTGGGGATGGATGGGGATCTTCATTGCCTTGCCTAATATTTTTCCTTCCTGAAATAACCTTTTCTTGCTTATCCCTGTTTCCACAGGCTCCAGTGTCATTAGTTAGCCCAAGTCAGGACAGAAAATCACTTCTCACTAGCTGAGTGTGTTACGTTTGTGTTGGAGCAGGTGCCTGCTCTCAAACTGAATGTGGCTCTTCTGCTCAGGTCCCTACAAGTAGTACCATGGTGACAGAAGTCGCCGCAGCTCTTCAGTGCAGCATCTTAAACTGAATGACAGTGTCTGGGGTCTAAGCCGAGCAAAGTTTGAGGCTACGTAATGAAGGAGCAGAGTAAGCTAAAGCTTTGAAGCGGCTTCTTGTCTTCTGTTTTGAAAACTTTGCTTAAATTTAAGTGTTGTAGACACATACCTTCAAGGGTTGTTAGTCTAATTATGAGTTTAATCTATAAAGGGTTTTTTTTATAATAGACAGTGGTCAGGCCCTCAGTATGATATGGAAAGTAAAGGGCTTCACATATCCCAAGTGAATTTTTGCACCTGAGCAGAATTGGCATGAGATCTGCTTGGATCTCATAGTCAACAGCCTTAGAAGTAGGAAACGCGTCCCAGGACACAATCTCTTCTGCACTTTCCTCTCTCAGCTGGAACGAGAAGGCTTTTGGCTGTAGAAAGTGAGCATCATACTGCTGGTGGCTCTAAACTGTTTGTTCTGTTGCAGCTTGAAATTCCTGCGATGACTAATTACTGATACTAGTTTTTACCTTCATTTGCAGAAGGTGCCTGTAACGAAAAACAGTAAAGAAACCAGACTAAAAGGAAACAAAGTGTCCTGTGCGGTGGGTTTCTCTCCAAGGCTGCTGTAATTTGCCCCGTGTAACAGCGTTGCATTTTAATTGTGTACATTATGAAAAATGAGGTGCTAGCGCAAACATGCCTTAGTGGACGCCCCTTCCTCAGGCAGTCTCCTCTGTAGTGCCAGTAGGATGAGCAGCCAGTCGCTCATACACGATTTTTATGCATTTATTTTGCTTCTGACTTACCCAGGCAAGTCAAACTTTGTCAGTGTTCTCGCACTGATTTCAGACTCAAGAGGTGTCAGCCCCCAGCTTTTGTTTTCTTCCTTGTTATTACAGGTGGACTATAAAGGTGTGTGTTAAGAGCAAAAATGAAATCCCACACGCTTCTAGGTGGGGCCCCGGTGATGTACTGCATAAATTGGTGTTTTGGGTCTCAGTCTGATAGCAGGCTCTGAAATGGCTTGATTGAGCACCTCTCATTGGACTGGCCCATGTCAGTGGCTTCTGGTGCAATGTGCAATTCATGGACCGGCACTGCTGCAGAGCTTGGCACAAACTGTACTGTGTGGATGCCACTTTTCTTCAGTAGATGTTTCTCCAAAGATGATGCAGTGAAGCTTTGACCTTTGAGGGCTCAGACTCCTAGTATCTTATTGGTTGTGATTGTTGAATTGCGGTTGCCGACTCTAAAGAAATTGCCCCACAAACACATTTATTATAAAGGCTGGCTGCCAGGACAGGCATCTAGATGATGGACGCTCCCCATGGAAATAAAAAATGGCCTCATAATCAAAGCCCTGGGCAACTGGTGCCTCCCGAGTTGGGGGCACCAGATTGCTGACGGGGGTTTGGTCCCCCGTGGCTGGCTGCCCGGCCTGGAACCACCAGTGGCGAAACCAGAAGTGAACTTCTGCCAGCACTTCTGGTTTCACAGCTGGCACTTCAGGGGGTGCACGTGCACCTGCGTGCACCCCCTACACATCGCCACTGATCAAAGCAAAGCTTGAGGGAGCTGTACTTGCCTTGCAAACATCTCTTCATTTAATTTGGTCAGTGTAACATATTCCCATGTTCAGGAGCATATTTGTGGTTAAAAAAAACTGCCTCTTCAGGGGGAAAAAAGAGTGTTTTATTGATCTTTGAAGATTTTTTGTAACTGATAATCATCCATTTGTTTGAGCTAGCTGTCCGGCAAGTTTGAATTCACATTAGCTAATTAATTAGTCACTTTCTCATGGGTCTGTGACATCCTGCAATGTCCTAAATGTTGCGTGAGAAGAGCACAACAGGAAGTGTTTTGACTGCAGCTAAAAAAAACCAAACGATGAAACCTTACTAGCTCTCCTTAATCTAGTTTAGCCGAAGTCACCTTATGTCTCTTTGAAACGTCAGAAAATAAGCTTAAATATGAGTGGCTGACGAGTGCTTCGGTGGTGCCTGTTATAAAACGTGCAGATGCTTAAACTCTGGCAGCAGGACGCTGTCATCTTATGCAAGCTAAATCATGAGTTCAGCCCTCACTGTTGCATGCGAAGTTGTTTTAGTGGCTTGTACTCTGGCAGCCTTGAGACTGTGGTGTAATCCCTGGGTCAGCCTTTCTCACTGCAGCGCAAAGCGTGTTGTGATGCAGAAAGCCTGACATCTGCCTTGCCAATACAAAGTGGAAATGTGCTGCAAGGATGCCGTGTGGTGTTGTGGTGCTCACCGCCCCACACGGGCAAGCATCTTATTGCGGTGTTTGGCACCTTGCCTCACTTCGGAAGCTCCCTGTGTCTTGCACTCTTCTACGAGAGTACTGACCAGGTGGTGCACCGCCCTTAGTCTGAAAGCGGTTATTTCAACAGTTCTTGTCGCCTACTCCAAGTCTTTTTGCCCTGCTGCACTGACACAACTTAACTGGAATCACGGCTCTCCTTCCGCCCCCCCAGTTTTTAGGCCAAAAGGTTATGAAGCTTCCCATGGGTAAGGGGGTGAAAGTGAGGCTGCAAAGAACTGTGTGGGTTTTGATTTCGGCTGAAATGGCCACAGTAACCTGCCCATCGTTGGCTTTCTAAAGTGCTTCCATATACCGACCATCATCCAAGTGCTTGTTGCACAGATATGCTGTCTTGTAGTTCAGAGTTCCTCCATGAATGGCTCAGCAGTCAACACCTGAGCCTTGAAACTTGGTGGGTGGGAGCTTTTGGATGACATGTGATCCATTTACAAATATGCATAGGAGAAGAACCGTGTTAAGTATCACCTGCATGTAACCTTGTCTTTGTTCCGTAGTCCTCCAGCAGCGATAGCGGCAGCAGCAGCAGTTGTAGTAGCAGTAGCATCCACAGCCCTGACAGAGCAAGCGGTCCAGAAAGCAGCTTAAACCAGATCATTGCAGGATCCAGCCCTGGCACCTCTCAGTCCCTTCAGGAGCAGTCTGCACTAAGTCAAGGTCCTTACTTCCACATCAACCAGATCCTGAAGGAGGCACACTTTCATAGCTTACAGAGCCGGGGGCGCCCTCCGACATGATGAAGCAGCAGTTCCTTGCCTTCTGTGAAGGGACAGCACTGTGTAGATTTGATATTTCAACTTCAAGTTTGTTAAAATGGAATTGCACAAAACGCCTGTTGCCTTTTCAGTCTATATTTGAAATAACAGGTTAACAGGAAATTGTTTACTTGTGGTTTGCTGCACTATTGCAATGCAAAAGGGGCTTTGAAGCAATTTTTATAGGATTCTTTTTGGGGTGGGTACAAATGACATGTCGAGCTGAGTCTGAGGAATCCAGATCTGTATTATAGGAGTGCATAATGGTCCAATTCCAATTGACTGCCTAATCTGTTTGTTAGCAACTTGTTGCTTTATGTAAAAGTTCTTACAAAACATTCATCTTCAGTTTTATAAGTCTCTCTTCTGTTTGTTTGTTTTTTTGGGTTTTTTTTTTTTTTTAATTTCAATAAACTAGTAAATAAGTTTCCATGGTGAAATATCTTCTTTTCGGACATCAGTGTACTTGTCTGGGCATTTAAGGGTTAGAGGGACATGCTTTCAGAAAGTAGGGCCAGCTGTAAGGACAAGTAGTAGCTGGCTTTCCCTGGTAAGATTGAGCCTGTTTGATCATTCACAGGCGCTGCCAGGACATAACAGGTGAGACCAGAACTGGGAAGATGTAGAACCCAAAGCAGGCTTCAGCTAGAGATAATATCTGAAGGGCACAGGGGTCACTTCCAACTCAACACAGTGTTGCTGTAAATAAACCAGAGTGCTGGGTTGGGTGGTTCCCTCGGCTACAACAAGGTAATAAAGGAAATGTGCACTGACTGGGGTAGTCCTCTACTCCAGTGGTCAGACCACAACATCCTTAGCTTAGAAGTAGGTCAAGGAAGAGACCAGAGTACCCTACTGTGACCGGGGCCGACAGGAGAACAACATGACACACAAGAAAGGTAAGCGAAGCATGCAGGATCGAGGGTGGGATCAAAAAAAGGAGGGTGGAAGCAAATGGACGAAGCGTTTTATTGGATCACTTGGTCATGCTTGATAGCCAGCCAAGCTTGAAGAGAGAGGGGGTGGCGGCGTCTTCCTCCTCTGTGGCAAGCTGCTTGAACAAGGAGCCTGGGCGGAAAGCCTCCTCTTCTACTCTCAGAACGGCAGCAGGTGGACCCTGTTAGTTTTCAGAAGGGAGACGGGGTGACTATGGGGCTGCTTCCACACGGTGCTCAGTTGAGTGGAAAACAGCTCAAACAGAAGGATCAAGAACTTAACTTGAGAGAAGCAGCTGATTAACTTCAGGCCCCTGCTGCTCCCTTCTCACCCTGCCACACACCCTGTGCGACTCATGCCATTAAGCCCTGTATGTGCTGTAATGAACAGTCATGATTGCTAGCAGCTGAGTCTACAGCGAGGCATCTAGTTTCTGGCAAGAAGTGCAACTTTCTGCCATCCTGTGTAGCAGAAGTGTGTTGCTTTAGTTTACACCACACAGCTCCAAGACATGAGATGGCGGCATTAGCCATTTCTGCAGGGAGGGCTGAATAAGATTTGGATACAGTTCTTAGGGCCTATTTTGTCTAAGTGCTTTGCTGGGATCACAAGTGTTAGGGAAGCATCTGCCAGTAATTTAGAGAAAGGGGGTTAACATGAAACCACACATGCATCACAACTCAGAGTAACACTTGGGAGAGGCAGAGGGACAGAATCGCTGCCTCCTGTCCCTCAACAGCAGGAGGTAAAAAAAAAAAAATGCCTCTTTTTAAAGCATGGTTCACCTTTCTGGGCATCGCTGCTGTTGCAAAGCCAGGTGATCTTTATTGAATGCAAGAGTCATGCGCTTGCCCTTGCGTCTCAGCTGAGAGGCATCTCGACAGCGCCAGAATGGGCTACTGGCTTAGTGTGGACTTGGTAGCAACGGTGCATTACAACTCCCAAGCCCCTTAGCAGCCTGGCATGCCACAGTGCTCTCAGCCCTCAGCGTGGGAGCTCAGCTATGCCCAATTAAAGTGCAGGGGATGTGTACTGATGCAGTAGCTGTCTGCTCCTCTTCACAAGAGTAACTGCACACCACAAAGCCTTGGCAGGAAAAGCAAACCACTCAGAAATCACACAGGCTTAAATACCCAAGCAAGACTTCTTCAGGAGCTTACAGGACAGCACCATACTGGAAGGGAGTTGGAATTAATTAGCATCGTTCAGTTGTTTAACGCATTGCTCATAGCTTCCCTTCAGCTCTAAGCAAATCAGACCTGCATGCTGTCTTTGTTTCTCATCTGGTCGAGTCTCTGCTGCACTTCCCTGGGGGTGCCTGTGGTCTTGTGCCCTGGTGCACATACTTTCATCCAGCTGCCTGTCTCCAACCCTCTGCAAAGCCCCACAGCCTCTGCCTGGTCCGCTTGCCAGGTATGCTGCAGAGGGACCAGAGCCAGCGCTGCGCACACTGACTGGAATGGCAGCAGCTTAGCTCAGACAGCAGTGTGCGCTAATCAACTCCCCAAACTAACCAACTCGGGTGCTAGAAACTTTCTGGGAGGTGGGGGTGATATTAGCCGATTTATAGCAGTTCTCCCGACCTATCTCCAGCACCTCCACAGCCAACCACTGCTCCCAAGGTCTGAGCTCAAGGCTGCCAAATGCTTTGTATTCTGCCCCAGAGCCCCCACTCGCTGTTGGCTTTCAGCAAGTCACTTGGAGAGTGACCCACTGGGGTGTTCTGTAGAAGCAAGGACGAGGATTTACACTTGCCTGCTCGTATCTCTATGTGGGTTCTTTAACTTATACTTGCTCAAACTATTTTTCCTCCATAGGCACCCCAGAACCACTGGCTCACTCCTGAATGCAGGGTCTAGGAACCCTGCTGACGTGACTTCCCAGCCCTTGTTATGTCTAGAGCACAAGGTAAGGGCAAATTACTTGACTGACCTGAGGCTTGTTCTCCGTGTTTCTTGCAGCTGATTTAGCTCTTCGGGAGCTTGACATGCTCAGAGGCAGGAGTCCAAATCTTGGAGAGAGAAAGCAGCAGGTAAGGAAATGCAGTCGATCATAGCGCACTATGGGTTCTGACAGTTATTGTGCCAGAGGGCGGCTGGGACCTGCAGGTGGTGGTACAGCAGCTTACCTGATCTGGCTCGATGCCAGCGGCAAGATATTGTGAGGCTCTTGGGAGCTCAGAGTGCTGCTTCTACTCGTGTACTGATTCTCTGCTCCTGTTAATAAGCCAAACAGAACCTACAAGACAGGAGAGAGCGGCTGTTTTCTTTCTGGTGGTGCAGGATTGCACAGATGCCCTTGCCTGCCGATGCATGGGTGTTCTCCATAATACGTCTTTGTGGCGTGCTGCTTCCTCCTTCTGCCAAAACGCTTTGAGCCAGGTGCTTAATTAATTGAATTTCCAGGCGAAGTGAGTACCAAATGTCTCTCCTCACCCTCAGACTCCCAGCCTTTCATCAGAGCCGCCTGCTACTGTAACAGCAGAATTCTGGGACAGTTTTAGCAGCACTTAACCCAAGCGTTTCACAGATTCTAGTGACTCCTCTTTGATCAGACTTGAGAGAAGATTACATGAATGATCATGTAATTCTCTCTGCAAGCTGCTCTCATCTCCAGGAGGCTTTAAATATCTCTCCCACTGCTGAGAGCGCTCTCTCCTGGCACTAGGCAGCCAAGAAAAGAGCAGTAAACCTGTTATGCAACATTTACTTCCTGCTGCAGAGTGACTTTTCCCTGAACTTACAGAAGTTCGTTGCACCAGGCGGTTAAGATTGCTGTTTAAGTGCGGGGTGAACACATCCAAGTCAAAGGGATCTATGTGGCCTTCCAGGAAGTCGGTCACCTTCTCAACCCTGCAGGCAGATCAGAAAGACGCTGGTCAGGTTTTCATCTTTAGCGCACACAGGTGAGAGGGTGGACAAGTTGCAAACGTGTTCCCTTGCTCCCTTCCTCTAGAACCACCTCCAACAAGAGGCCTCTGTTCCAGCCTGGCAGAAGCTATAGGTCAGAGAAGCAGTTCTCTGCTTCACTGTGGTGCACAAAACCCCCCTTGCATTCAATCAGCTCTTACTCCCTTGGCCCTTTTATTGCCATGGGAGAGAGATGAGAGTAGTGGCTGTAGCTTTTCCATTGCCATTTTCTGAATGTTACCAAGAGACTGAGTTGGGAATTATCTAACTGCACTTTGTTCCCTTTAAAAAGTGAATGTTACGCTGGGGAGAGGAGCTACTGCCATTTTCCATCCCCAGAAGAGCCTGTGGGTATTAGCACAGACCCCCAGGCCCACTCTGCTATCCTACAGGGCTTCCTGTGTGGTGTGTTGCCATCTCTCGAGGAGTCCTCTCACTGGCTCCTTCGCTCCTTGGTCTGAGTATGTTTTTGAGGCAGGTACCTGGGAGGCAGCCCGAATGGCAGCGCTGCTGCTCGCGCTTGAACGCAGGGAATATCCCGCACCTGGAATCTTGCCTGACCCTGCTGGTTTTCACCTCCTCGCTCTTAGCAGTTAGGACAATATTTAGGTAACGGAGATCGTAGAGCAGCTGCAGAGCCCTGTTCTGGGTCAGTGGAAATGCACCTTCTCTCTGAAAAGGGAACAGTCAAGAAGGGCCTGCTTCAGTACCTTTTCACAATCACTCTTTTTATATGAGGAACGTTTAAAATGCTCTCCCCGCCCCCCACAACGCACAGTGGCAGAGGGAAGGCAAGGCCTTGCAAAGCGCTGTCTCCCTGCCAGGCAGACAGCCGGGGCTGTCACTGCAAGCGGCAACTTCCCCTTCTGGCACAGGATCTAGCATCACTCACTGCCTCTGCGGTTTTAGGGTGGGCAACTAGGCTGCCTCAGACAGACCTGAGGGGCCAGAGGGGAGCAGGGACAGCACTGGATCCCCCCCGTGTTTTCCCCCTTAAAGTCTGCCTAAATCTTCTGTGCTTCCCCGAGCAGAACTTCTGGCTGC